AGACTGCGGAGGTCGGTGGTTGCGCACAGTTGCTAAGGGTGTAGACTGTGCGCCAGTGGTCGTGGCCAGGAGAGTAGTAAACTAGGGAGGACCGCGAGGTTGGAGACTTGCCGGATGACTGAAATGTTGCTCATTATACCAACCAAAGTACCGGCGAGGCCAGCGGCAGGGTGTAGACTAGGGTGGTGACCAGCATGTTGTTAGGCCTATCGAGGCAGAATAATTGGGAGCGAGCCGCGAGGCTGTGCGCATGCCTGCAGTTTTGGTTGCTACTCAACCTGTATACGGAGCGGTCAGAAACAATTGTGGGGTTGCGGGCTTATTTGCTGGCCGGAGCACTATTCATCCTATAGGCGGAGTCAGTTGGAGGTAGGCCGTGAGGTTGTCAGAAGTTTTACTTCGGCGCTGACCAAGCTGTTGTGTCGCTCAGCTGCCATTGCGGGGCCCTCAGGCGAGTGAAGGTACCAAGGCCCTCTCACGCGAGTCTGAGAGCACCATTCTTGGATCTGAGAGTCTCGCGCTTTTCTCTCTTTCCCCTTCTAAAGACTAAGTCTACTCTATTGGCTACGAGAGGAAGGAGGCAGGCGGGATTGCAACCCGTAGGTCCGCGCTAAGGCCTCTATGGGAGGTTCGCCCCACCGATTGCGGGAGCTCTGCCGGAACTAAGGAGGAGTTCTGGAGGCAGGGAATCGTCAGGTAAACCATTTCCATCTGTACAACCTACTACCACTCATGTTTTGCCTATCTCCCTGTAATATGACTGCTGTATGCATGAGATTGTCCCTATGGTTTTTGTTTTCCCTTCAGGACTCAATCAGACTGAATGAAAGGAATGTGTGAAAGTGAAGTTTAAGTTTCTCTTTTGTTTTGATTGAAAGAAGACAAAGGGATAAACTGGGAGGGGGGTGGGAGGAAGGCAATTTTGCACGTGTTTGGAAGGGTCAACCAAAGTCTGAGCATTGTTTCTACTGTGAATGGTTCGGGGCTATGTTTACTTGGCTGTTTTCTGAAGGACCAGGCATTGTTTCTACTGTGAATGGTCTGGTTGCTATGTTTATCTAGTTGTTTTCTAGAGGACCAAGCATTGTTTCTACTATGAATGGCCTATTTACTCTAGTTAACTATGAGGGTTTGCCTGATTGAATGGGTTTTGCCTGAAAACCACAGACATAAATTAAACTGAGTATAAAGGAAAGTACTTTATGTATATTTGCATGTGAACTGGCAGTTGGGCATTGTTTCTACTGTGAATGGTCCAGCGTTAAGCCATATCTTTAAGAAGAGAAAAGAGAAAATACAGACTATCAATGGAAATAGTTTGGGCAAGGTGAACATTGTTTCTACTGTGAATGGTTCAGTCCCCTGCCCATATTTGTCTTTTCTTTTTAACAAAGTCAGAGAAATACTAAATCTTTGGATATTAAACATCTCAGGGCGACTATGCATTGTTTCCATGGCGAATGACCTAGTCATCTGCCCAAAAAAAGAAAGAAGTAGTTGTGCAACCTGTTCGTGTATATCATAAAGACAAGCAGAACATTGTTTTCATGGCGAATGGTCCAGCCCTATGTCTTATGTAAGATGGGTATAAGGATTCAAGAACTTGAAGATTCATGAACTATATATATGGAATGAACTTGGGATGGTGAGAGTACTTATATTCGTGGTTAGGTTTGCATGTGACTTAATGAGATGGTTAGTTTGTTTGGGTTTCAGTATTATAGTTAGTTGCTTTAGTTGCTCGCCATGTGCTAGAGTCATAGGAGTTAGTGTCTATTCCTCTATTTTCTGAGCTAAGTTTTTTTACTTAGGTCAATTTTGTATTTTCTGAGATCTTTTCTTATACTTGGCTTTCTATAAATCTTGGCAATCTACTTTCTCTTCGGGAAGCGCTGCCGAAAGTTTTAGAAATCTAAGGAGTTAATAGAATTTTTACTTATCAAAAGTTCAGCTTTGTCTTTTCTCATATCTGACTTAGTTAAAATCTGGGAAGTCTAATTTTCTAAAGGGAGTGTTGCCCTAATTTTTGCTAATTTGGGGAGATAGACAAAATTGAACAAGCCAAAGTTACTTTCAAAATCTGAACTTAGCCTTGTATAAATTTTGGAATAACATTTTTCTAGAGGGAGTGCTGCCGAAATTTCTACAAAATTAAGGAGTTAGTTAAATTTAGTCTAAAGTTGAGAGCGGTTGTTTGAATTCATATCTGACTTAGTATAAATCTGGGAAGTCTCCCTTTCTAAAGGGAGTGTTGCCCAAATTTCTACTATTTCAGAGAGTTAGACAGAATTTGACTCTCCAGAGTTATAAATTATTTCTGTTTTTTATATCTGACTTAGTATAAATCTGGGAAGTATCCCTTTCTAAACGGAGTGCTGCTCAAATTTCTACTAATTCAGAGAGTTAGAAAGAATTTGACTTTCCAGAGTTGCAGATTATTTCTGCGTTCATATTGAGCTTATATAAATTCAAGAAAGGCACTTCTCCTACGGGAAGTGCTGCCGAAATTTTCTTAGGTTATAGGAGATAGACTATATTTTGACAAATGGCGATTAAGGCGATCCGCCCTGAATAGGGGAGATTCTGCAGTTGGTCTACCCTTGGCTTAAGCACTGGCTTAGAGGTAGACTTATGCTTAACTTATAGAGAGATATAAAGTGAGGATGTATTATGGAGTTGTATTTTCCATACACTTATGATCTTAGCTTAGGGATTGGTATGTCGTGTGTTACAGGTCTTTTTGATCATTTGATTCAAGTTCAGGGTTTGATCCAGCTTGATCCCTTAAGGATCACTTTCTGTTATCACTGATAACAGGTCGGTTGTCGATTCGTCGGTCTTCGACTCAATTTCAACTTTCCCTCCACACTCAACCTAAAAGGCTTTAGCCCTGGTGCTTTCGTTGTTTTATTAAGGTTTCACCCGGACTTTTATTGAATGGTCATTTAACAGAGGTGTTGAGTATTTAATTAAGGTTGGTTGGACATGAGGTTTGGGGCTTGCATGGCTAAAGCGAGAGGTATGAGTGTCGAAGATGGTTGGGGTTGACTCCGTGTAGCGCGTGGAATGTTGATTTGACTCGTTGATGTGATTGCAGGTATGGTTGTGGTTCGGACTCTCGATGTGATTGCCTGCGATTACATACTTATATAGCTGAAAGGAGCCCCACTGTGACTGTGAGAAGTGATCGTCCTATATATAACTAATCCTTATATATTTATAAGTGTCCTGAGTGTTCGAGAGACGTACTGCAATTGTGCATAAGAGTTAACCAGATTATGGCTTGAGAGGAAAGGAAAACCCTGTGTTATCTTTTGCCCTTGGGAGTTTTTATAGTTGGACGTTATAGTCCGTGAGAATCGCCAAAGTCGAACCCCTTGATGTTCGACTGCCACGACAGCTTAAAGCTGTCCACTCAACCCCTCTGCACAGGGTGCAGAAGAGGGTGTGGTCTTCAACCACGCATGACGTTTGTCCAGCGTCGAGAGATTAACCCTCAAGGCGCGTGTCAGTCGACACTTGAGTGTCGAACGCGACCCTCGAGATTAACGAGGGCCGCGCGAGTATGGGTACTACATGGTACGCCATCATCTCGACTGCTTGGGTACGCTTGCATTGTGACTCGATATGAGTTAGCCCTGCGTCCGCGCGGTTTTATATTAAGTCTCG